TTTTTCCCCTGCTCTCCCTACACACTGCTTCTTAGTTTAGCCCCTTGTCTTGTCTTTCTAGGAAGACATCAATAATTTCTACCTGACCGACCTCCCTCCCTTCCTTCCCCTAGAAGCCTGTTTCCTGCTGTGTCTCAAATAACCTTTCAAAAGTGTGCCCTCGTCATGGAATACTGTATATAAAATTTCAACTTGATTTTATGGAGTGCCAAGTGGCCAAAAGTGCTCAGAGATGGCCAGAACTTGAATAATGGGCAGGCTTGGCTGGCAGGTGGAAACACTAAGTTCTTTATTCACAGGGGATTAAAATTTTGAAAGACTTTTAAACACAGGAGTGACATGGAGAAACTGGGTTTTTAAATTTTTATGTGAAGGTGAATCAGAGGACAGTAAGGAAATGTCTACAAGAGCAGGTGAAATCTGCTGGCACAATTTAGTTGAGAAATAAGATTTCCTAATGGGAAGAGGAAAAGGGCAAACTGAGAGGAGCAAAAGTGAGCACAGGGTGACAAGGGAGACGAGGATTAATCTCAGAGTATAGCGGACACATTCGCACATTGAAGCCCTGATCCCGTGTGGGACTTGGAGGTGGGGCCTTTGGGCAGTAATTAGATTTAGGTGAAGCTTTGAGATGAGGTGACACTGATGATGAGATTGGTGTCCTTAGAAGAAGAGGAAGTGAGGCCAGAGCTCTCTCACTCAGTTTCTGCCCTGTGAGGACACAAGAGAAGAAAGATCTCTGCAAGCATGAGATGGGACGGAAATCCGTCAGCATCTTGACCTTTAACTTCCTAGCCCCATGACTATGGGAAATGAGCGTCCACTGGTTAGGCGCCCTGTCTGTGGTGTTTGTTCTGGAATCCTGAACTAAATCACAGAGCTTTACTAGCTTTTGGAAAAGAAACAGACCTCTTGGGAAGGGTGGAGATGTTTAATTTTTAGGCAAGACAATTACAGGAAAAATAAGCTGATATGTCCAGGAGGAAAAGAATAAGTAGAGAAGGATGTAGTCTGGCAATCCAGCATCTTGTCTGCTTTATTTCAGGGATGTTATGGTTTTCTAATCGCTTCTGCAATCTTCCATATGTTTCTCTTGGGAGTATATTCAATTTGCTTTGGTCATGGTGATTGGTTGGTACGGTCCTGGAGTGCCATGATGGTTTTATTTCAGATGATGGGTGCTGTGATTGATTGAGGTTGTCTGCCTTGGGTGTGGGAGTGGGTGAGTGGTGAAATGAGTGTTGTGCTCATCCTTCTCTATCCTAAAGCTTCTACCAGTGAGGAACAGAACAGCAAGAGCAAGCTCTCTTCTGGGTCTGTAGTCTAAGTCATATTGAAGTTGCTGGAAGCTAATTTTAACACTAAATAAATTATCTGAGATTTAGGACCAAGGTCACAAAAATCTTATGCCCAAAGTGAAATGACATTTGATTCCCTCTGGGGGAGGATGTGATTTTTATCTTTGAAACTTGGAAATGGGGTTTCTATGAAAAAAAAAAACAACAACAACAACACAAAGGAAACCCTGGAATTTAGAAGTAAAGTGTGCATATTTTAACAAAATAAATGACCTTACCATATCTCCTTTTCATTCCAAATGGACTTACCAGTAATAGAGCAGGAAGCAGAAGTTGGGCAGAGTGACGGCAAGCTGCAGCCACCTCCAGTGGGGAAGAGCGTACGCTACCCCTGCTAGCACCAGGAGCCCAACGGTGAAGGCGACTTGGTAAAAGATCCCCACTGTTCTCCGATAGCTCAGTCCAACAAACTCTGTAACTGCAGAGAGAATCCAAAGGACAACACATTCAGCACCACTGTGAGCTGCTGCCCAGCTATGAGGAAACCAGAACACCAGCCTCAGATGCATGGGGCAGACTCTAGGGTTTTCCATACAGCTCTCTGAATTTTTAGAAATATTCTTTGGGGGCTTGTTGTATCACAGTTATAGCTGATGTATTAATTAATAGAACTCTAATGCTATATCAGATTTAAAACCAAAGACTTGCCAATATGAACAAAATTATTTAATGTATAGAAAGATTTCAGGGCCAGGGAGATGGCTCAGTGGAATAAGCACTTCCCTGGCAAGCGCAAGGGCCTGAGTTCAATCCCTGGTTCCACAAAAAAAAAAAAAAGAAAGAAAGAAAGAAAGATTTCAGAGTCCATTGCAATTATATTTCAGCAAAGTGCAGAATTTTCACCTAGAATAATGACAGTGATAACTCAAGATTGAAATGAATGTATCAAGCATCAAATTTACATTGTAGACAACTTTTATGCAAATGAATACCTGACTATAACTTGTTCTCTTGCAAGGTTAACATTTCCTTTGAAGGGCCAGCCAAATAGCTCAGTGGAATAAGTGCCTGCTTAGGCAGATACATGGGCCGGGAGTTCGATCCCTGGGCCTGCTGTGCTGGTTTTGACCCCAGGGCATGCAATTGAGACTGGGGATGGTGGCGCATGCCTGTAATCCCAGCACTTGGGATGCTGTAAACAGGAGGATCACTATAAGTCTTGTCTACATAATGAGACCCTGTAGACTCTGTCCTTAAAAAAAAAAAAAAAAAGTTTCCTTTGCAATCTTAGTTATCTGTGCAAAAGGCTAAAGATTGAGAAAGAGATTGAATCTGGAAGTAGTGGCTGCAAGAGTGCATTTTACAACTTCCAGGAATTTTGGAAACTAGTTGTTAAATTTATTATTATCTTGAAATCAGCTATGGTGGAAGTATTTAAACCTAGGAAGTTGGAAAACAACTGCAAGTCCAGGCTTTTTACCTTCTAAGAATCAATTTACCAGCATGATACTCTCTGCACACAGTATAGCAATCAGCTTTATTCCATGACTGCACTGTGGAGGGTGCAGGCGGCCCATGTACGTGAAACTAGAGGAGTGTTATTTTCATATGACAAACATGGCAGCCTTGAAGCTCCAGGTGGACCACAAACCACAACTTTAGCTCTAAATCTTTGGCAAATATGTTAAAGCCTGCAACTAGATATTAACCAAACAGAAATGTATCCTGAAGTATTTCTATAAGGAACTGAATTATTTGAAGTATTTAAAAACAGCTAAATAATTGGATAGAAGGAAAGAAAGAGAAGGGGCCAGGGAGATAGCTCAGTAGCTCAGTAGAATAAGCGCTTGCCTGACAGGTGCAAGGGCCTGAGTTCAATCCCTGGTTTCGCAAAAAAAAAAAAAGAAAAGAAAGTACTCAATAAATAAACACAAATATCTTTCAAAGTGGCTGGTGTCATGCATGAGTTTGGGGGAAGGTTGGTAGGAAGGGGAATAACAAGGTACACATCAAAGGTTCAAGGATATTTAGAAGGACTGGAGAAGAAATGGCTGAGATTGACTTCTCCTTGAATATACATGTACACAATTAAATTCTACAGATTGCATGTTCTAGAAGCCAAATTATTGGTTGAATAACTGCATACATGATCTCTTTGTTGGGCAAATGCTATTTTAGATGCCTGTCTGCCCTGGCAGGAATAGCATTGAGAATCATCTCTTCCTGTCACAAATTTCTCAATTGACTTTAATAGGTTTTAGATCTGTGTGAGCATGTACATTCAAGTTCTCTCATGTCTAAAAAGCTTTACTATCATTACTATTGGTAGGATATTTCAAAATGTCCCTTTCCCTTTGAGTAGATGGTATTCAAATGTAACCAAAGAGAAAGTAACAGTGGAGGTTAATTTAAAAGATCTAATTATAGCTGTGATTTTTCCTAGTATTACTCTGAGGATGGCCTGTTGTTGGACTTTAAATATGCTCTCACAGTCCATGGATTCTAACCGTACTCTGGTTACCACTGAGGAGGGTGTAAATTATATTCCTGATTTTACAAATGGCTTGCTGGGGTGCCGAGCCTACGGCCAGCACAGCATTTGTATTCTCCATCTTTCTTTTCTTTTGGTACCCAAATTGAGGATTAGAGTGTTTTATTAGAATGGATATACGCAGAGCAATACAGTCCTTTTTACATCCAACAGATCTCTCACCTTTGCATCTGTAAGATCCCATCCTATCTGCATAGTGGCTTAGGTTTCTCCTCTACATAACACTGCAGGGTACAGAAAAAAAAAATTCCCAAACAGTCATCCTGGTGGCAAGATGCTTAACCTTATCTCTGCCTCTGTTGTTCTCTTTACACAGGAAGAATGCAAAGTGAGTTGATTAGACAATTTTTTAAAAAATTCCTGGATACAGAATAAATCTGCCAACATTGCCTGAAGCCGGCTCCTCGCTCCACCACCACCTAGCACTACCTTGGCAGCCAGGTCCCTGTCGGTGCCCCCACACCTGCAGCCACAAGCATCCTTACTTAAGATGTAGCCGATTACCCAGCCCGCTTTGCTGACCAGGCCTTGGATCAAGCGGAACAGTAACATCCATGTGTAGTTTGGGGAAATGGCCATGAGAACCCCCGAGGAGGCGTTTATGAGAACTGTGACCAAGAGGCAGATTTTACGGCCGAACCTGTGGCGAGATAAACAACAAAAGCAAACAATTAAATTTGATTCATAAAAATTGTAGAAAGTTCATGGAAGTTATGGAAATCAAATTAAAAGCAGAAATTAATTCTAAATTACAGTCAAGGGTTTATAGCCACAAAAATGACTCCTTGCTTGAGTTCCATTTAGGAGTTTGTATTAGTGTACTACTAATTGACACACAGCCCTGTTCTCTACAGGGCGGAAGAATCTCAGCTCCACATTGTGGTGAGCATTCAGGAAGGATTCGTCCTTCCAGGCCACCCAGTGCTAATGCCCCAAGGGCCTAGTCGGGTCTTACATCATCCTATGAGCTGGACTTTTTGCATTCACAGTCTCAACCAACTGCCCACCTTTACTTTGGGAAAAACAAAATTTGATAGTCAGGACACATGCCTTTTTCTTTTCTACAATACTTTTGAAATTTTGTGTTCTTTCCATGTCTCTATGTCTCTGGCTTCACACAATTTCAAGGTGTTTTTGTCATCCTGGTAGGATGAACTCCATACTTTAGATTTGAGGGAACTCAGCTTCCATGAGTTTAGGGACTTTGGAGAGTTGTCCAAGAATAGAGCACAAAACCCTGGCAAATTAGGTTTAATTATTGTCTTACCACTTAGTATGTGTTTGGCAAGTTATTCAACCATATTGAATTTCTTTAGATGGCAAAGACTTATCCTACCAGCTGGAGAGAGGATTAAGTAAGGTTATTGGAGACAAGGAGCTCAGCACAGTCTTCCTTGCTTTCTTCCTCTGCTTGCGAAGCGGGTACCAAGGTTTGAATGTGTTTTGTCCTCCAGGGATATGTGTGTTGGAAACTTAGTTTCACTGTGAGAGTGTTAGGAGATGGGAACTTGCTAAAACGTGGTGTCTAAGGGAGACCTGTGGGTTTTTAGGGGCCCTGACCTCACAGAGGATTAAGGAGGTTCTCAAGAAAGTCAGCTGTAAAAGAGCAAACTGACCCTTGAATCACTACCTGGTTTCCTGTTTTTGGAGTGACTTGTTCTTCTCATATGTGTTCTTAACATTATGTTTTGTGAGCTTTAAAAATAATCTTCACTGTTTTGGAAAGTTGACATATACATTATATGAAACAAAAGCATGAGATGCAAAGAATAAAGTCATTTGCAACCCAGTTTGCTGGATGTATCCTTCTGTGTCCTGTGTACATGACACAGGCAAGACTGTACAGAGTGGCGTGCTTTCCCACACACTATTAATACTCACCCAGTCAAAATCCCAAAGCCATGAGAATAGTTTTGATAACCAAGAAAACACTACACCAACTCAATCCATTAGAAAAAACTATAATCCTGACTTTCTTTGGGACAAAAACTTCCCTGAAGAGCAAAATGGCAACAGATCTCTAGATAGAGCAACTGGAAGAGTTACAATTAAAATACTGTGCTTTTTGCCAGGCGTGGTGGCACATGCTTATAGCCCCAGAACTTGGGAGACTGAGGCAGGAGGATTATTGCAAATTTTGGATTAGCTGAGGCTACATAATGAATTCAAGGCCAGTTTGAATACATAGTGAGAACCTACCTCAAAGTGCCCCCCAACCCCCTACGTTCTCTTAATGCTCAATTTAAAATGTGACATAAAGCAATAAAGTACACCAAGTGTATTTGTAAGAGTTACTAGGTCTCTATTGTTAAATGCTTCCATCTTTAAGATGGCCAGAGAACTGAGTTGATGTGGTATCACACAATCAAACCTCCAGAACTGGACTAAATAAACCTCTTCTCTCTGTAGAGTTACTGACTCAAGGGTATTACATTACAGTAACACAACATGGACTAAACCAGCTGGATGTCGGAGAATGGACTTGAGACCTCTTACATTTTCATCCTAGTCTGCTAGTTGTGTTCTAAAAGACATCCTAGTTTGCTTTGGATATTTTAAAAATATTTCAGAGAAAACAATGTTATATCTAGTCTTCCTTTCATCCTCTTCAACTAGAATAAATATTTGTCACTAGTATTGCACATCCTAATGGTGGATGAAGACTTTATAACTGCTGTTTTTATTAATAGGCAATGGTGTTCTGTTCACTATTTCAAATACTAACATCATTGTTATGGTTTATGTCTAGATATTTCCCCCAAAGCCTCATGTGGCCCTAGAAGGGGCTTTTCAGAGGTGGCTGGATCTAGACTGTGTGATGCTGAGATTTAGGGTGTATGATTACTAAATGAGTCCACTGATTGGCCTGGCATAGTTCTGGGTGTGAATGGTGGGAGTGAGTGCTACCTGCCCTGAAGGGTGGGAAGCCTGGGCAGAGCATTCGGGACAGAAAGAGGGTTGGTGTGATCACTTGCCACTTGCTGCTTTCTGCTTTCACAGTCTGCTACCTTCCTGTCATGAACAGTTTCCCCTCTGCGATGCCATCCTGCCTTGGAGACAGCTGACTAGGAACTGAAAGCTCCACAAACTGCAAACTGGAATGAACCTCTGCTCCTTTAACTTTGGGTGTTGGGCATTTTGCCTCAGCAAAAAGAAAAGTAAGACAATCATGAATAACTACTTTAGATTGTTAATGTTTTAAACCTCAAATTTAAAGTTAAATCAGTTGCATTAGTAATTAAAAACTTTTTAAAACTCTCTTTGGCCATGTCATGTCCTGATTTTCTGTTAATTGCTCTCTGCTGTAAATATACAACCCCTTGACTTTTAATTACAAACCTTCCAAGGTCACATGTTCCTTAATTTTAGTGCCTTACTCCCATTCTACTGCCTTAACCCCTTTCTTTTATCCTCAGGTTCTGGAATCTATAAACACTTGCTCAAGTGGTACTTCTTCAACATCCATGACTGATTCAGGCACACAGTGTAACAGTGATGCTCCTATAATGGACGAAATCCTTGGATAAGGAAGAGGGAATACTCATCACTGGAGAATCTAAGCCAGGAAACACAATCCATGATGTAGGGAAACTTCACCGTGGAACATGGTCCAATTGAGGATACAGTGCTATTTGAGGATTACATGAAAAATAAACAGACAAGACAGCAAAGAAATGATGGACACTCAGTACTGCCAACTTTATAATTCCTTTGGCTACTTTCTTTTTGGTATATGGCAGAACTCTCAGCATAGAGGAAGGGCATGAACGAGCATCATTTGGTGGCTGGGTAAGGATGCAGACTCTCAGGCCCGCCTAGACAGATGGAGTCAGAACCTGACTTCTCATAGGATTCTGGGGGATCTGCATGCATGTTAGCATCTGGGAAGAGGTGCTTTAATTTCACTCCAGCTCACTTTCCTCCTCTGCAAATAATGGATAATAAAATCTACCTTAAAATCTGCTATAATCCTAAATGAAATATCAACAAATGTGGATTCCCAGTGAAACAGCTTGCACATAGTAGTCTGCGCACAATTTGTTTTGGAAGATCCTGTGCAGTCTGGTAGATTGGACTTTGCTACTTTAATCTGGGTTCACCAGAGCATAGAGACAGAGGGTATTGGCTCATGGGAGCTAATTGTTCGACTCAGAAAATTTGCAAGCTACTCCTTAAACACAACCATTATTGAAAGTTAAACTATATATACTTAAAATTAAATAAGTTACATTAGAAACAAGTTACATTGTAGCAAGCATGCAAAACATACTGCTTCTTAATTATTGGACTACATTTGACTATCTGTGCCCTTGAGGTAACTCGTGCCTGTTGCAGGCATGAGGTAGAAATGCTTCTTTCCTGTATCCTTGTTTATATGCTATTCATATTGTCTTCCTCGCTGTTTTGAAAAGACACCACAATCAGCCATTTGGGTATTTCTTAAAAATTCTTTGTGGAAGACTCTACATTCCACTTAATGATCATTTTGTGTGTGGATAAAATGGGTTTCCATAAGATTCTTTTCCCAAATTCTTATATAAAATCTGAATTTTTGCAGGTGTTAAGTATGGGAAAGATGAGTTGCTTCATATGTTTTGAATCCTGTGCCGATGGTCGTACTTCTGGTCTCCTTGCACCTTCTTGTGTGCTTGAATAGAAGAGTTAAGGATCTAAAGGCCTCGAGACAGCTTAAGAGAAAGAAGTAGAAGCCAAGCTTGACGTCATAGGCCTGCAATTCTAACACTCAGAGAGGCTGAAGCAGGTGGATTGAAAGTTTAGCCTGCACAATATAACCACTTAACCAGGCTGTCTCAAAATGAAAATAAAAAAGGATCTAGGAACCTAATTCAAAGATCCTGGGTTCAATCGGGGGGGGGGGGACAGAGCCAGAGCCAGAGAGACAGTGAGAGACCAAAAGAGAAAGAGAGAGAGAGAAAGAGAGGAAATGAAGGCATGTGCACCATGTTTTGGGTAGGAATACTGAATAATCAGCTTTCCAGGTCAGACTTCCTCAGCAGAAGCAGAATGATGAGGTCATCTAAGGAGGAGGATAATTGACTGGGCATTATCACTCAGGAATGCACCCTCAGGAGAGAGTTGGAACCCACCTCCTACTCCTTGAGTGGGAAGAAAATAATTAACTCATGTCTGTAGCCCACGCTGTGTGCTCCCATGCTTCCCTGGGGGAGCTGAGTGTTCATGTCCTGAGCTCCCAGGGCACAAAGAGCTGCCAGCCAGCTGCCCGGGGGAGCAACACCTGACCCTGATGTCCTTGTCAATGAATCTGTCTCCACTTACTGGGTCATCCCCGAACAGCTGTCCTTGGTTCTGGGGCAATAGCAGTAAAAATGATGACCTTCCTCTCTACTTCGGCAAGTTCCGGGGAGGGCCGTGACAGGAAGGCTGAGCAGCTGGTTACCACGCACAGTGATGAGGATGCTAGAGCGGCCTTTTATTTATTTTATTTAATTTATTTATTTATTGGGTATTTTTTAGGGAAGGGTCTACAGGATGTTCAGGGTCTCACTACTAGATCCGACTCACAGGGATCTGCCTGTTTACAGCCTCCCAAGAGCTGGGATTACAGGAGTGTGCAACCACGCCCAGTCTCAATTGCTGTCTCAGTGCGCTCCGGGGACAGGGCCAGCACAGCAGGCCTGGGGATGGAACCCCCGGCCCCTGCGCCTGCTTGCAGGTGCTTTAATCTGCTGAACTACTTGGCCAGCCCTTACAGTGGCCTTTTAGTTCAGCACCTCTGCTGTCATCCTTCCTCCCTCCTGCTGCCAGATGGGCCCAGGCCCTGCAACGGCACTGAGCTCTCCTTGTGGACTGCAGATACATTTGCTGCTTTTAGTCAGCCTGAGACTAGCATACAACCAGAGAAAGTATTTGCCTATATTTGTTATTATATTCACAGGTCTGGTCTCATCAGGTATAGCTGGGGAGGACACAGAAGGATAATGAGTCCAAAGTATGTTTATATTTATTTCACAGTTAAAAATATATTTTATACATAAATATATAATCAAGTCATGCAATTATATGTAATATGTAGTTATTTAATATAGTTATATACTATATATAATTATGCATAGTTACAAGGGCTGATTAGAAACATAGTGTGTGTTTAAATTTTAAGTTATTACATTAAAAAAACACATTGCTACAAATCCCTCTCAAAACATCCTGCTTTGTTTCAAACACATTTATCTCACTCTTCTCACTTTCTGAAGCAGTCTTGGAAGCAGTTCTTTCTGATGTAGACATTCTTTCCTGAGTGTCTTTACCAGATCTGATAAAAAAAAATCTAGTGACTGCTACTGCTGAGTGTCACTCAGCAGAAAAGCAGTCCTATAAAGGCATCACTGTGTGTCCTCACCTACCGTCCCCAAAGCCAAAATGACCATGGAAGGCAAATGCTTTGACTCAGTACAGCACATCCAGGCAGACAGGAGAGTGCAACTGGAGACTCCCAGGAAAGAAGACTTCCAGAACTGCTTCAGAACATGGCAAGAATCATGGGATTAGCATGTTTGATGTGAGGCCCAGTATTCTAAGGTGGCTTAATGGAAATGAGTTTTTTATTGTAATAAAAATTTATTATTATTTTTGTGTGTGTGTGTGTGTGCTTGTGTGTGTGTCAGGGCTTCACTACACAGCTCAGTCTCATAGTGATCCTCCTGTTTTCAGCCTCCCTAGTGCTGGGATTACACCACACCTGGACTCCATCTCCAGCTCAGCATGCATGGGGGCAGAGCCAGCACAGCATGTGGTGCCAGGGATCAAAACCTGGCCCCTGCACTTGCCTAAGCAAGCACTTAGTCTGCTGAGCTATCTTGCTGGCCCTTAGAATAGAAATTTAAATATTAATCATATTATTTGATCACCCTGCCTATACATTTGCATATACATTTGTATCTTACTAGGTGGCTGGTGATTAAAGAAACTAGTTTGTCTACAACCTCATATGCAGTGTCTGGCACTGAGAAAACACTCAGTTCCTAGCCAGCATTATGAATATTTGATAATGACTTGAGTTGGCCCAGTTACTTAAAGTGCTTATCAGGCATAAAACAAGCGATTCTGTTCCTTTTCCTTTTGAAGACTCCTAAAAATAAAGAGTTGGTCATCAATAGATCAAAGACTCATGCTCTAAGGATCTTTAAGTGATGTGGGATTAAAATGCTGGGTGAATCAGATGCAGGGCTTGCTTGCTTAGTGTGAACGCCGCATGGACTTCTCTGAGAGGGCCAATTGTTATATGGCCTCTCTTCATCTTTGAGGGGATTCTGGCTCTGTGGAAGGGTCTCTTCCTCTTCTGGGGTACACTGCCAAGTTCCACTTTCACTAGACTCATCATGTGCATGGTTCTTTCTGTACACACAATCCCATGTGGAACCATGAACCGAATTAAGGAAGTCTGCAGGCTGACAGACAATGGGGACATTCTGTGCTTGGCCAGGTGTTCAGGACCCTGACGCATGAGGGACAGAGAAGGATCAAAAGAAACTCACAGGGCCTCAAGGCTCATGACCAAGTTGGAGGCAATGAGGCCAAAGAAAAAATAGGGATTACAAAAGGAATTAAATCATCTTTTACTCTCTTTCCTGGCTCTTGGCTGTTGGATAGTCAACAAGAAAAAAAGTGCTGCCTAGTGCTGAAATGTCTTTCCCTAATCCTAGAGCATTTGAAAATAAAGGCATGAGTCATTATCAAAGTGGTAGAAGAAATCTAAGACTGGGAAGCTGCCCTATAGGTGTTTCACCTACCTGTCTGCTAGGTAGCCAATGGCCACAGCACCAATAAAAAAGCCTGCATTCACCACTGACTGAAACAGGTCCAGCATCCAGGAGTTGGCACACACTAGGTTGAACTGTCCAGAGGGGAGACATGTTCCAGGCCAAGAGGGAAAGAAAGCATAATCGTGTTAGACACAGGTCAGCCAGAAGCTCACTTTAAACTATGGATATGGCTGAGTGGCAATAACCCAACAGTTTCTTGACCAGGTTCTTTACGCCACCAAAATACGTGTGCCTAAATCCATCTGGCATGCCACCTTACAGTGTGACATCTGACTGAACTAGAGGAGTGGCTAATCAGCTAAACATACAGAATGATTCCACTTATAAATAAATCCATTTTTCTCCCAGTTTTTTTTCCTTCATTTTTCCTTCCTAAGTTTAATACACAGAGGTAAATAGCTGAGTGGACATAACATAGAAGAAAGGAGGAGACTAGGTTGTTGAGCATTTCTTAGCTGATTTTTTAACAGTTAGAGATTCAGAGTGTCTAGCTAATTGCTATTGCATTGCTTTCGTCTGGAATAGGGGGTGGGGTCAGCAGATGCTGGCCCGGGAATCAGGACATTTGACTTCTAGAGTTAATTCTGCTGTCACTCAATCTGTGTTGAACATAGAACTTTGCTCTATTCCGGGTCTCAGTGTCCTCTTCTCTGTACAAAGGGATGGAATTAGCTGCACTGTAGAACCTCTTAGATTCATATAGCGTTGCGTCCACAAACCTCTATATTGCAATAGCCCACACAACTGTTCACTACTATCTTTCAAATGAAGCTCCTCTGACCCAATGTGCATTTTGCACAGCACATCTTCCCGTTATGCAAGGGGTCCTTTTAACTAAACTGGAGTGCTCACTTTTATTTTCAGGGTAATTTCTCTTCCATTTTGCTTTGTCTCCAATAAACACGTCTGTGCATATTCTTTTCTCCTATTGGATTGAAGCTTTCAATTAGATTTTGCTATGACTCTACTTTTGATCAAAATAATTGTGTGACAGCATGATCTCCAGATCAAATGATTTCCTATGGACGGGGGGCAAATTAAAGAAGAAAAACAGTTATCAAGAGACGAGCATAGGGGCTGGGGAGATGGCTCAGTAGAATAAGAGCTTCCCTGGCAAGTGCAAGGGCCTGAGTTCAATCCCCGGTTCTGCAAAAAAAAAAAAAAAAAAAAAAAAGAGAGAGAGAGACGAGCATAGTGACTCACACAGTGAAGCACCGTCCAGGTGAAGGCCACACGTTCTCCCTGTCTCTTGTGCGGTGGGAAAGCAGAGGGAGAGGTAGAGCTTCCAGAAAAAAGAGGAAGCTTTAAAATATTCCCTTTCCTGGCATCAAGTCCTTTGCTTGTTTCTTACTGCTGAGACTTGCATGAGCTACAATCATTGTCAGAATCTGAGGCAGTTTTAACTAATCCACTCATACTCTAGACAAATTAGAAGTTGCATGCTTTCACTTGGAAACTAGGATTTTATAATATACATCAACACCAAAGAGCATGTCTAGGCAATTTAAAGAACCAAGCCTTTTCTGGTTTCTTCCCTAGGAAAGCTCAATTATTTGCCTTTTGTGTTCAAAGTCACTTACCTCGGTGACGATGGAGGAGCCAGGTGTGTCATATACCCAGGCATCCTGACAGGGGCTCAGAGGTAGGAGGCTCCCGTTGCCAGGCAGGCTGGACAGAGGGTCCACGCAGCTAAGGGTGCTCTGGTTCCAGTCCACCTCATACTGCATGCACTGGCTGAGGAAGGCCTCGTCCGCAGTCCCCAGGCCCGGCACTGTGTAGTTGAGCTCCTCGGCCTGGCTCCAGCCGCATCGCTGGCTCAGCTCAGCCACCCCGGAGTTCCTGCATCGGTGGTTGGGGGTGAAGCCCAGGAAGACGATGCCCACATAGATGGGGGTGAAGGCAGCCGAGAGAAGCGTTAAGAGGAAAAATGTTTGTTTCTGGAAAAAATGGAATTCCCCTATATGCTCTAAAATATCATCCACTGATGGCATGATTCCTGGAGGCTACAGCCCTAAGTCCAGTACAATGTCCCAAGTGCTGTTGCGAGTGGCTGCAGCCAGCTCAGTGCAGCTCAGGACGGAGAGTCGAAGGGTGAAAGTTAGCTGACTTTAAGAAAGGGACCAGCCTATGGGCCAGGCTTGTGCTTGATTCGGCCAACTTCAAACTGCACCCCCCTCTAGTGAGGGAAGGTCCTGTTGCTGCCCGGAAATACTTAGAGAGGCCCCTGGGGCGCAATGTTGTGTTTACTGTAACATCATTCTCTCTGAGTTTGCCTCTGCCTCTTGTTAGCGTGCAAACAATCCTTTCTCTGTAACACATGGGGAAAAAATCTCAGTCTCTGCACATATCGTCGTGTGTTAATCTTTCTCTATCGTGCCAGGTGTCCAGGAAATTAATATATTCCTATCTCACCAGAACAGCTGGCCTTGGCGTCAGGTGCGGTGGAAAGGGCAGCACTTTGGGCTGTGCTTGCCTGGCATAGAGTGCACCAGGGTCTCGCGTCACACTCCAGTTCTGCAGCTGGACTCTTTCTACAAACAAGTGGGCTCGGAAGGCATGCTGTGACTGCTTGCTTTGATTTCTCCAGATGTTATCTTCCTGGCCTTCCCCTCAACCATGTGAGCAGAAGGAATAAAATGTTTGCTTCACACAGAGATCTAGTACGAATGCGGATGAAAGCGTTTTGTGTCATTGTCTTTTTTCAATCCTAGGTATTTCTGAAGTTAGAGGTGTCTCTTTAGGATGGTCATCAGGGCATCCAAATACAAAAGGACAGGCAGGCCATCTTTCTTGCTGGGCAGGATGACCCTCAGAGCATTATAACTCTACCAAGCAGGGGTGGCTCTCTGATATACCTGCACAATACAGCCCTAGAAATTTAGTCCAGCTTGCTTTTCTCTTCTCCCTCCTCTTTCTCCTTTGTTGAACATGCACTGAGTGTAGCAGCACGGTGTAAGGTGTAGACTTGCTGGCCTCTCCGTTTTCTTGTCTGGCTCACGCAGAGCCTCTGCAAAGGCCAAGGCACTGCAGTCCCTTGGTCACTTACTAAGTGATAGACAGGTCTGGCTGTCCAGGGACTGCCTTGGAGGTGGCCAGAGTCCTCCGTGCATTAGTCAGAAGCTGAGGCTGCCGTCAGCTCTTCTGTTATTCACCGGAAGACTGTGGGAGTGGGCAAGTTAAAAAGTGACTAAGGCTGTCCAAACTCCCTCTGCTCCCAGGGATGCGAGAAATCTACAAAGGTTTGCGCTTGATTTGACTCATGGACACAGTCTGTGTCTAGACACCAGATCTTTGCACCATGAGCAAGAGGGCTCCAGATGAGGGAGGACGATATCGTGGGCCAAAGGGAAGTGATGTTGAAACTCATTACAAATTGCTTAGAGGAAATGATCAGATAAGACAAAGGTAAGGTGTCAGATCACTTACAGCACTGGATTTACACAGTCATTTGACACTTTTCCTTCAAGGCCCTAACACAGGAGTGAGTCCCAGTGCAGAGCTGTGGTAAAATCAGTCTTATAACATGAGAGGCTCAACAAGCAAAGCTTCCCAGCCAAAGGGCATCACTCATGACTCCCCGAAGATAAGACCTAGCTGGAAAATAATCAGCCTTGAAAGCTAGAGATTGGACATGCCAGCCCCAATCAGCCTATCCTTGCCCTTCTTGCCTGAAGCAAGTAATCAATTCACATTTGAGAGAATGTGCAGGGATGAAAAGAACACACAGGGACACCGAGCAAGCTGAGTCTCCCAAGTGCTACCATTACACCTCTTTATTCAGTCATACTTTTCTATGACGCTCTATAATAAAGCATCACACCTAAGAATAAAGATACACTAGTGTCCCTGAATATTTGGGTCTTTATTTCTGGAGACTCTCTCGTCATGCAAAGCTTTTATTAAATAAATTGGCATGCTTTTCTCTTACCAGTCTATATCCATCTATATTTTGTTTTAAGGGCCTCAGCCATGAACCTGAGAGTGGATGAGGAAATCTCTTCCTGCCCTATGTACTAGGTTGGACCTTCAGCTTGGACATACAGGCAGAACACTGTTCCAGAACTCTTTGGTTGGGCTCATAGTTCACCTGTACTAGGGGTTGAGCCCAGGCTTTTGCACTAAGCTACATTCCCAGCCCTCTTTTTATTTTGAGATAGGATCTCACTGAGTTGCTAAAGTTTCCCAGGATAAACTCAAACTTGCAATCCTCCTGCCTCAGTCTTCCAGAATGCTGGGATTACAGGCATGTATCACAATATCTGGTCATTCTCATAGTTTGATTTGCCAAAGTAAACTCCTTGTTCAAATCCAAATCTAAACAGAAGTAGAATTTTTTGGGTATTCAACCTGTCCAGAATCTCAGAAACAACTCAACTTGTTTGCATTGTTTTTTTTTTTTTTTAAAAAAAAAAAAAGAAGAGCTGGCCAGGTGTGGTGGTGCACACCTTTAATCCTAGTACCCTAGAGGCTGAGGCAGGAGGATCACCATGAGTTAGAGGACAGCATAGGTTACAGAGTGAGTTTAAGGCCAGTCTGAGCTGTGTAGTAAGACCCTGCCTCCAAAAGACAGAAACAAAACAAACAAACAAAAACCAGAGAGATGAGCTCCAATAGAGATAGAAAGGTCTTATAGACAAGAAATTGCATCATTTGGAGAATGGGAGGGGAGAATCGTGTAAGATTTTCTTTGCCATAATTATCAGCTTTCAATTTTTAAATCTATAGAGCAGCAACTAATTTCTTCCTTGACTAAGTTATTTCTTAAGACTGTTTTTCTCACAGAATCATAGAAAACCGTGTGTGTGATGCGCCATCTGTTTTTGATAAGGAGATTTCAAAACAGGTGTGTGTTGATGTCAAAGGAATATTCTAATTTCAGAGTGATTTGAAAATGTAAAACACATGTTTGAAACAGAACTTCTAATTCCTAGTAAAACTGCAGGCTCATCACCAGATCTTCAAAGATCAAAGAAATCGGCCTAGAAAGAAGGACCATTACATGTTCCTTATTTATTTATTCATTTAGTATTTTAGGGAAGGGTCTACAGGGTGTTCAGGGTCTCACTACTAGATCAGACTCATAGTGATCCACCTGTTTACAGCCTCCCAAAAGATGGGATGACAGGCACACGCCACCAAGCCCAGTCTCAATTGCCATCTCAGCGTGCCCCGGGGATGGGGTCAGCACAGCAGGCCCGGGGATCGAACTCCTGGCCCCTATGCCTGCTTGCAGGCGCTTTAATCTGTTGAGCTGTTTGGCTGGCCCCTTACACGTTTCTTGTGTTATGACTTTGGTCCAGAGGAGGAGCAGAGCTCATGAAAGAGAAAACACTTCCTGAAAAAGGTTGTTGAATCCAGATGAGGGGCAGGAAGTGAGCTTTACGAGCCTGTGGCGTTCTGTTGGGATAGTAAACAAGAAAGCTGAGGCTACGGGTCCTGTCAGCAGGACAGAAGGAGCATCTGAAGATGCTCCCATTGGCCCACATGGGACAATTTTAAGTACCAGAAAGAATAACTGCAGCACAATGAGACACATGAAGTATTTTGCATGTATGGATTCATTGTGGGTTTTTTTTTTTAACATCTCGTGAAAAAATTGATCTTGGCATCAGTCTTCAGCGGAAGTGAAATTCAATAGATGATGAGCTGAAGAGCTTCACACCGAAGCGTTCAGACTCATGCCGTTTGAAGCCACACACCCATCTTGCCCTCAACGAAAGTTGGACAAAGTTGCAACTGGAAGGAATAAGTTCTGGTGTGATGACTATCACAGTGGGCTGACTGTCACTAATCATAATACACCATATATTTCAAAATAGCTAAAAGAGTATTTTGAACGTTCTCACCAAAAAGAAAAATGTTTGCAGTGGTTGATATACTGATTATCCTGATGTCACTACTACAAGATATGGATATCAAAATTTCACCTGTATTCCACAAATAGGCACAGTTATTGAGTATGAGAATTAACGATTTTTTAAAAAAGAAACAGTACAACTTAACTTCATAGGCCATGTTTTGAAATATCGTAGATAACACACAGCATGCAACCTAAAACATACCCCGGAATTGATTGAAGTCTGTCTCCAAATTTGTCGGTTGATAAACCCTGTTGGGGATAAAGTTAACAAGTGGTAATATAAGAAAGCAATTAGCCAAATGCAGATTCTGAACAGTCTCCTGGCAGCCTATTCCCAGAGGAATCAGTAAGCCATCAGGGCATAAAACCAAATGCCATTAGGAGACTACGTTTGGATCAACCATAAAAGGAATCTTTCAGACAATTATGAAAATTGTAAGATGGACAGGAAAGTAAATGATATTAAAGAGCTATTTTTTTATTATAGAAGTATGATTATAGCACTGTGGTCCTGGGTTACAAAGAAGCATATTCGAGTGGAGTAGATCACACTGACAGAGGGCTGGATGAAACGGCAAATTGTGAACTATTCTCTTTAAAATACCTTTTTAAAAAGTGAATGCAGATGGAGGAAGCAAAAGTATCAAAATTAAAGCCATAAAATTTTAGCTGCTGCTGTGAGGGACAGAGCAATGAATTGTCTAGGGCCTCCTGATTCTTCTACCTCTGGCAGGTTCCTTGGCCACCTTTCAATGGCTTTTCTGTATTATTTTCAAAAGACCTTTCTAAGTCCAGCCACTTGCCCTTATTTTCTAACAACCTGATTTGGTTGGTGAAGTTGGTTTTAGTGGAATTTGCTAGAATGGCCTTGGCTATAGAAACACATGGTTTGGGGAGAGAAAGTTTGAAAGAACCCTTTCTCCTTGGTGGTCACATGGTCAGTGATGGTGGGGAGCCACTGATGATCTGTGCTTAGTTACTAAAGGTGAAAATTACCAGTAGAATTGAGATGTGGACCCAATTCTTGAAGAGTTGGTTCCCTGGATGCATACGACAATACAAATTGATAAGAGAAAATTGAAATATTTAATCCTTTGGCTATTATTATCTACACAAGCTAAAAAGAAAAGGTAGCGCTGGGTCAAATGCTGGAACTAGTTCGGATTTCAGTGAATATGAGCTTTGGCTCTTAGCTTCTGTTAAAGAAATTGTTTGTCAGCATTTGCTAAAGAAAAGACTTTTTTCAAAACTGTCTTCATTGGTACAGTTGCCAGAGCAATCAAGTTTTGCAGTGGGGAGAGAGGTTATGCTCAACTCTGAATATAGCACGGGCAGTTTGGAAGTTATAGCCAAGAAGCAGAGCACGGGTCAGGGGATGGAACGTTACTGAGAAACAGCATCAGTGTCAGAAGGATTCCGGATAAACAGACCTAATAATTCACACTGAAGGCAGGCCAGCCTGGTCGGATTTTAGTATTGAACAAGGACTTACTGCCCAACATACACAGCAGCCAATACTGTGGCACGAGGTTTTTGCAAAACAAAAAGACTTTGCACTGTGGTCACGTGGCAAGGCGGCAAGGGGCTGGGCAAAGCTCACATCTGCCTTCCAAATCAGTTGGTAAGGGGGGGATTTACAGGAAGGAAAAAGAGAAGTTGCTGGTTGATTACATGATGAAAAGAAGAAAGGGCCAGGGAGATAGCTCAGAGCATACGCGCCTGCCTGGAAAAGGAGAATAGATACAGAGGCTCATGATGCTTCTTCACAGGTTACATGTTTCTTTTAGGGGGAGTTCTCATGATCTGCAGGGGTAGGATGTTTGAGCTTTAAGGTCAAAAAGTTACTGATTGTAAGAGCTGGCTTCAACTCATGTCCACTCTTGAAAGCCAGCTCCAAATCATCCTTGAGTGAGTTCTGGAGGATTTTCTTGAAAGATAACTTAATCATCTTATTATTTAAAGACTCTATTCCTTGTCCTTAGCCAATTTCAATACCACTTTGAAGGATGA